TTTACTTACTATTTATTCATATTTTTTATTTATTTAAAATATTTGTTTGTGTTTTTTGCATATTTATTTGTTTTTACTTTTTTACTTTATTAAAGAGCTTTACTTGTTTTCTATTCTTGCATATCTGTTTAATTTATCTGGAACGAACTGCATATTTGTTTTAGTTGTTTTTCATGACTGTCTATTTGATTTTATTGTTATTATTTACTTATTAGTCTTAGGTTATTCATATTTTATTTATTAATATTTTGATTTTTATTCTAATGCTGTATATATTACTTGTGATTTTACTGCGGTTTTATGTGTATTTATTGCGTATTTTTTAATGTTTTTTAAATTCTGCGTAATTTTCACATTTTCACGTTTTTGATTAATTTATTATCTTGCAAAATACGTAGTTATGAGTATACAATAGTTGAAATTTTGCAAATATCGCAAGCAAAAATCGTCACTAATCCAGTTCATGACCTTTTATGTCTACCCTTGCTTGTGTAAAGAACAGCGACACCTAATGGGAACGGTTGTATTGGTATATTTATGAACTATAAGTCAATACAGCTATTCTCAGAAAATGTCATGGTCTTAATTCTTCAGTTCATCTCCTCCAGATGCATCCATGTGTTTTGTTATTTTTTCACGGGCCTTTACTTGATGTATTCGGAAATAAGAATTCGTTATCCGGCCTAACACTTTCTGAACACGGAGACATTTTGTTTAGGGAATTATTTCCATTTATAACCTCCAAGTAAAGATGTGAATGAACGTTTTATGGCTCAGTAACACCAAGATGAGAGCGTGATGTAGCAGTCATAGACCAAAAAGGCATGGAAAGTTTCAAGAGATTTTGATATTTTTGTTCGAATAATAGCGCAGCTTCTTTTAACAGCTTGCACACTAGGCTGATTCGTTGCAGAAAATCTACAAAATAACAAGCCTTATTCGGTTGTTTTCTTCCTTGATATAGTATGTCTATAATATATTTCTCCCGCCTTTTTAGCATGCCTTCGGGATGTAGTGGTCAGCACACTCGCCGCATATACAAGAGGTCCGTGGTTCGAGTCTCGGCGAGGCATTGCACATTTTTCATGTCTCCTGCTTCGAAATAACCTAGTGTCTCTACATGTCTAAACTAAAAAATTATTGACTTCTAAACTATCAGTTACATTAAATGTACTTTCAAATCCCAGTATTACTTACCTATCAATATATTATAGAGTATGAAAATTTGAATTGAATAAGCAAATGAAATTCAGTACTGTAGTTATTTAAATTTTGATTTGAATAATTTCGAGTAATTTGAAATGTTTCAGGAGCTGTATGAAACTGTAAACAATTTAATTAATATTATAACTATAATTTATGTTAATATTAACTTGGATTGTTGAATTTTCTCTTTGTGCATTTAAAGTATTCTAATAAAAATATATAATTTTCTTCTTTTATTTAGTTTTGTTAAGTTCTATTAAATATCGACCGCTATTTTTAATATTATACCATGGTATTAAGATAATTAATATTAAATTTATTATTTAAAATAATTATGCTCTTAATATAAATTATGCTCCTATGAATGTCGCTTGTGTACATTATTTAGTTGCCTCTGAATTTATTTAAAATTTATGGAAATTTCTAATTATCTCTTGTTGCATCATATCTTTGTAATGACAAAATTATATAACATTCACTTTATTAATCTAGGTGAAAGTATAAAATTGGAGGCCTTCTGAGGTAGCGTATGCTTTCAAGATGAATAAAATTACTTGAAACAGACGTGACCTCGCCAGGCCCCAATTACAATCAATGCAAAGATGATTATCTCTTCACAGGCATTTCGGAAATATTTTAGAATCGTGCCCGATTTTCTATTGTAAGTAAACATACATAATTAAAGACCTCATAAACTAACTGTATTCTGTATACTTTAAAGTTTGAAAATGCCTCCGTAAATCATCTTGTCTAAGTACGAATGCTACCGGCACTTTTACCTCTGATAAATATTTGTCTAATGTCATTACAAAAATATAATAATTTTTTTAATATTTTTTTTAGTATGTACTGTTTTAACTGCAAGTGCATGTTTAAACTGTAGGCCTTATGAGGTAGCGTTGTGTTTTTAAGGATATTTAAAAATTAGAAACACCCGTTTACCTCGTCAGGCTGCAGTTACAAGCTATCAATGCCAGTGATATTTATGACGTCTCTTACAGGTATTTATATCGTTTTATTAATTATTTATAATATTTTCGTTAGGGAGTAAATGTAAATTGCATAAAATGAAAGTACATGCATAAAACTGAAACTTATTCATATATTATTGTATTAAATGTTTTTCATTTAGTCTACTATTAACAGCCCCTCCATTGGTCACGGTTTAAAGAATCAACACTCACAATGTTTACAACGCCATTTGCAATTCTGGAGCAATCTTCCGCAGCTATACGCAGTTTCAAAGTTTCTGTTGGAAGCTGTGCTAAGAAACTGTAGGCCACGTGAGGTAGTGTTGAGTATCCAATGATCTGTTAAAAGTTCTAGGAACGCACGCTACTTCCCATGGCTTCAGTTACAATCAACGGATACCAACAAAGCTTACAAATCCTTACAAAAGTTTCTTTGATTTCAAGAACTAATTGTTTTTTTCCTATTTTAGGTAACTACAGAAGATATTGCCAGGCTGAAATCCTTAGAAAGTTTATGTAAGTAGCAAGGCAAGACTCAACTTATGCACCATGGCCAGTAAAAATTCCAATTTTTTATGCTTTAATTCTTCAGACACAAACTAAATATCAGTACTAGCTTGTATGTGTGTTAAATTACGCATGCTTTTTAATGCGTTTAATTAGTGTTAAATTTCTTCAGTAAGAATAGGTGCTTTTGTCATAACTATTGTGAAATGTAAGTTGTTATGAAATAATTAAAATGCATTCTCGTTTTAGGCTATATATCAAGTTGATAAAAAAGGAATGGAGTATTTGGGCTTGCAGAAATTAAAGCGCGTATTAAAAGACTTAATGCATCGAAATTCTTACAGATTATTATGTCTTTATCTTTCTTATGATTATCTTATGATTATCTTATGATTTCTTATAAATATCTTATTATTATCTTATGATTTCTTATGATTATCTTATGATTATCTTTTTTTTCTAACTGCAGTGAATTCAGTTTTCATAACTTTTTTCGATACGGAAATGTTTATGATGCTATATGATAAGCTGTTTATTACTCATACCATATGTTTTAATTTTTCCTACACAGAAGTGCTAGTCAATCAGAAGTTTTGTTTCCCTTCCCAGTGCACCCAGTGAATTTCAATGTCAAGAGTGGTTTAATATACTCCGAAGTGAAAATTTTAATACTGAAGCTGAGCCTAGAAGCGGGCGACCTAGAGACGTGAAAAAAGGGATTATGTTGAAGATGTTAAAAGAGTTAAATCCATGAAGCAACAGTCTCTATTTTCTGTTGAGAGAGAAGATCAGTAGATCACTGAAAAGGAAAGTTTTCTCATACTCGCGTTTGGACTCCACATAATTTCGCAACTAAAAATTGTCAATAACAAGTACCGGTTTCTACTTTCCTGTTTACAAAGACATATTTTGATCGGAGATGAGAACTGAATTCTTTATGCTGAGAGTATTCGAAAACGATAGTAGATAGAACTTAATCAAAGTTGAAGAGTTGGAATGAAAGTTGAAGAGTAATGAGTTATAGAAAAGTAATGTACTGTACTGATTGACAATTACCTATATTGATTGACAGAGCTGATGTGATTCTTTAGTAAGATAACGCCTTCAAGGTGATGAATAGCATAAAAAACTAGTAGATACAGAAAATAATAAAATAGCTATCTTGCTCAAGAAAATCTTCTCAAAACGTTATTAGCTATCATATAAAACATGAACACGATGAATATCAGGATAAGGCTTTCTGAATGTCTCTGACGTAGTTATGAATTTATACTATTTAGTTCTGAAGTGCCGATACCAAGAAATTAGAAATGCTTTACAATTTGCTTCCCATGTTTAATATGACATGAACAAAATCTTCTTCAGTAGTATAAGTGTATCTTCGTGAATGGTATGAAGGTCAATCTAATGACAGAGTTAGGATAAACATTGCTTTCAGCTGTATTAATTAGCTCATGTGCGTTTAAAATACGTATTAGTCTATCATAAGTTGTTTTTATTTTTAGAAAAAGTGTCATAAAACTTATGTATCTAAGAATAAACTGTATTTCTAGGATCAAAATGTCTTTAAATTAAATGTTCCTATAAAGTGAGTATTATTTTTAATTTTCCATTTCTGTCAAACTTATATGCAATTTTTACAGTAATAAATTTAGTATGTTATATACTATTTTGCTGTGTTATTTACTATTTATGAATTTCATTTTATTTCATTATAAAAATGCTCTCGACTTACGATGGTTCAATTTATGAGTTTCAGTTGCTACACATTCAACTGAAAATTACTAGCACAGTCGCGGCAGGAAATATAAGATTGTTTTTGCTTGCTATCAAGAAACAGATAACGAAAAAAAAAAAAAAAAAACAATAAAGTTTGATATTAATAGCGTAAATAAAGCCTGATGTCTTTTTGAAGAGCTTAATGCCTGCTAAACTACCAGTAAATATAGATATCCCCAGCTATCTTAGATTTCATCAGGAAAGAATTCAGTTGATGACCTTATTTACTGTAGCGTCGACGTCATTCAATACAATTAAATACAATGCTTCAAATGTTCTTTAGATCAAAAATGTTACAAGCTGTATACATTAAGGCTGCATATTTGTGCAGTCATAATTCTTTTCACTTTAAGTAAAATGTTGAGTAAATTACATGACACATTCAAAATTATGTTTTATAAAATGAGCTTTGCCAATGTGAGGACTAATGCATTCCACACATTGCCTTATTTTCTAAATTCATTTTACGTATGATTGTAAGCTTTAATATTCGGCTGGTCAGATGAAAGCATCTGAGTATATTTTAGAGTTGCGATAATTTCCAACTTATGATGAGCTTATCAAGGCATAATCCCATCGCAAGCCGAGAAGCACATGTATGTGCCATGTTTAATGAGTATCTTTTTTTTTTTTTTTTTTTTTGTATTTGTAGACAGCTGAAGAAAAGGTATAGGCCTAATGAGGTAGCGTAGATGTTGCTAGCTATGTGCAAAATTGCTAGGAACTCACGCTATCTGACTAGGATTATACTAATTACCTCGAAGAACTTATAATTCGCATGAATTCTGGAAGTCTGGAAACTCATTCTGCGTCATTACAAGAAAAGCAGTATGTCATATTTATTTGAAGAAATTTTTTTAAAAGAGGAAAGCATTCATTTCTTTGCCACTGAAAATTTTATTCCTTGTTTTGAATTGTTTGATACTTTTCGTTATACTTTTTAGTTTCTATTAATATATTTTTTATCTTTACTTGGAGTTGCCTCAAGAGCTATTGCAGTATGATCAGATGGCCGTCAGTGCTCTAATCTACGAAACTTCTACGAGGAAGCATAGATGTAAATAATTATACCTTTGGTAGCATTTGATGGACTTCTTTCAAAATTTCAAGAATGTTCGCATTCTGCCTAATCTGAAGGTAAATGACAACCTATATTTACATACTTCCACTTGCATTAATCCTGTTAATTATCAAAATCAGATGAATTATTTCATTTGAAAATTGCCCATTAAGAGTAATTTTAAATTAATAATTTTTTCTTCATGAAGTGGATTTAAAGAATAATCATGACTAAAAATTTCATCTAATTATTATCAGGTTGTGATTTAGATGATCATTTTGCCAGCTAAATCATGAAATTAAAGCATCGGTGTTTTTCACCGATGCTAAGTTCAGTCAGTGCCTATACATTTAAAACCACTCGCTGTTTAAAGAAACTATTAAAGGCTATATGAAAAAAGAAGCTTTTCATTTGTATCGTTTCTGTCAAATTTACTCTTTCTTTGCTCCTTGTTTATTTCGATTCCATTAAAGAATCATTAATTAAAACGGAAAAGCCAGTAAAAAATCAATAAAAGAGTAAATTACTTAACTATTCCTCTTCTAGTTTAGCTAGTATCTTGGCCGGCCGTTGAAGATAATTCTTTTTTCTATTGCTTATTTGCATATCAGCTTACTGAAAAGGGAATGGGAAATCTCTACGTCATGAAAGGTATTTTTCAACTGATTTAAGCTGAAATCCAAATTAATCAATAAAAAGTGTTTTCGCATGTTATGGACTTTACGGTAAGGAGAAAATAATTATTCCTCTGGAGGATTTAGAAATTCAGTATTCGTTTCTTAAACAAAACGCTTAAAAGGGTTTTCAGAAGACCTTTCTTGCTTTTCTTCCTAGAAAAACTATTAAAATAGTATATTAGTAAAGAAAAGAACATTATGCTGTATAAAATCCATATAGTAATATCATATCAGAAGTAGTACAATCATTTCATTTATTTTGTATTTATTGTTGCAAAATTGTTAAAAAAGACTATGTGACATTGATTTAGGGATACCTTGTTTATATGCAGAGTGTGTATTTTCTGCACTAAAACTTATATATTTCTCATCACCTTGGATTTAAAATTGTGATTTTGTTAACTATTTGATTTTGTGTAATATTAAGAATTTTCAAAACAGAAGAGAAACATGTCAAAGTGAAATAAAAAATTAGCAAAGTAACAATCTTTTGTTTGGCATATATTTAGTTAAGATCTCAATCAATTTCGACGGCAAGCAGGTACAGGTCCCTCTTCATTATTAGAAAAAATTGGCAACACTGGAAAGCAGCGGGCGTATATATACCCTACGACCCTTTCTGTTTGTTTACCGCCAAGTGTCATGTCACCCGGCTAAGCAAAAAATGGCTTCTATTTTCTGTTATGTATTTTTGCACTCTCAAAGTTTGTTCTTTAGAACCTTTGCTTGCGAATGAACTCAATTATTTGAGAACAGTTGCCACTGACCGAGGATTTTTCCCCGTGGTCATTGATAAAAACTTTAAATAATTTCCAGCTTACCATCAAAGAAGACATTCCTCTATTAGAAATAACATTAATAAACGTTGTAGTGCTTCCGATTCATCCTTCTATCAGTTATAAAATTGCACGGATTGTCCAGAACTTCGATTTTCAAATCATCTTCTCGCCATTCAATAAAATCCATGGTTAAACTCTTAAAGATTCCATTTCTGACTTTAGTTTTTTGGGGAATTTATAGCATATCGTGTGAGTGTGGTTTGAGATATATCGACTACACTAAAAGTGTAGTAAAGTTTAGTACCAAGGAACACGAGCCCGATGTCCGTAAAGCGAAATTAATAAGTCTTCGATAGCCTATCGTAATTGAAAATTTAGTTTCTTCAATTGGTGAATTGGATTTTCTTGAAGCTTTTCACTTTAGTTAATGACTATGCGTCTAATACATTTCTTCCTAACGCTTTTAAAATTGTATTAACTTTTTTTTTTTTTTTTTTAAATTTTCGTTACTATTTTCTTTGCTTCTGATGAAGATTAACTTGCACCTGTTTGTCTTCGAAATCAGTTGAGATCTAGACTAAATCTACGCCAAACACAAGGTTGTTGCTTTTTTAATTTTTAGATTAAGAATTTTATTTTCTCTTTTTTCCCATTTTAGGTTACTGTGTAAGTACAGCCTAGTGAGGAAACGTTTGCGTTACTGGCTGTGTAAAATTGCTAGGAACGCACGTTGCCTTAATAGGCTGTATCAGTGTCAGCAAAAGAATTTATAACTCCGAAGTCTGTATCTTAAAATCGGACATCGTTACGTGATGCTGTTAAAGTCAATCAGTGGATTACATAGAGGAGAAAGCATATAGGTACAAAACATTATCTATACAGAAACCATTATGCAAATTTTAATTGTCAATTACACTTTCATTTTAATAGGATAATTCACTTCACAATAAATGTTGTATTTGCTGGAGCATATCTCCCTTTTAGTTTTTATGAAGTGCTGTCTAAAATAGTACTGATTGCTTCTATGACCTTAATTTAACCTCCTTCTTCAATTATCTTTGCAGGCAAGTATCACTTTATGAAAGTTTATCTGAATATGATGCAATAATATTAATATTTACGTACGCCAGTTATATAAAGCTTCCATAATGGCGCCCGCCTTTTAAACTTCCATGTATGATTGTCGATAGCTGACAAAATATGTTTAATGGGGAAAAAATACCCTTTCCCTCTAATCTAAAATATTTAATTTAGTGGTTTTTCATAGATGCGATTTGGGAAGATCTGTGAGTCAGTATTAACAGTGAAAAGCTTGAATAAACTGATAAAGGATTTCTTCCTCCAATAATATTTTGAAATCCAGAGCCATCCGTGACCCAACGGACTAGTCCGTTGAACACTGGTAGTTCGACCCGAATTCGAATCTCGGACAGCAGACTGTTTGCATAGATGCTTTCATGGTGTTTTCTTAGAAGTGAATGTGAGCTAATTTATCTCAGAAAGTCCTCCATGAAAAAATCCTTTCCTTTAAGCAGATATTCCTTGAATACTTTGCGATAATTAGTGAATACAAGACACTTTCTGCTAGAAAATGTTTTGTATCCACTACCTTAAATTTGCATCTGTACCAAGGCATCCATTCCCTTAGATAGGTAGCTTTTATGTTCCTTGCTATAACTAACTTATTGTAAAACAACGACTTTAACTACTACACGAATGTTATTGCCAATTGATAAAGATGGCAGTGATACATTTTCCGATACTGCTTTTTCTGTACGTTATTATAAATAGAAACACCTCACATAGCTACGTCATTAGCAGCTTTGTGGATTTTATATTTTAGCTTCATTAAAACCTACAAAACCTATTATGACATGCATTTGAAAAACGTACATCTAGTTCACGTAGGATAGCATTCAAGATTTGAAAGTAATCTGTAATGTATGATTTTTTTTAAAATATTCTGCTAACTTAGAAATATATTACGATGATTAAAAAAATAGATGCTTAATTTTCAGTTTACACAAAGGAGCAGCGACTTTTGATTGCGAAAATTCATTGCAAGAATGGCGAGTGTTATGCACAGACTGTTAGAAGCGTCGCGGTCGCGTAGTTTTTGGACATAACCGTGCACCTAAAAGGCATTTGAGGACACAGGTTTGACAGCAGATATTAAATCACTACGTTGTGAAAACATCTGTATTTTGTGTGACAGTGCTATTGCAAACCTCAAAAAATCCGAACTTAAAGAGAACATTTAGCTTTTACCTGTTGTAAATGCGATAAAATATTTTCCATTTTCTGAAAATAAAGTATTTTATGGTACACACACACACACAAAAAGTGGGAAACTTTTATATCTCCCGTTGTAATAGACCGATTGACGAAAATTAATTTGCAGTTTTCAAATCTCGAAAGCGCGACTAAGATATATATTAGATTTACATATAGCGTCGTTGTTGTACACAGGAATTTCGATGCAAAATCAGACTTTTCTGAAATGACATACCAATGCTTCGATTCTATGAGTCAAATTATGCCAAAGTGTAAAGTTTCGCAAAAATCTCTGGAGTCGTTTTTAAAACGTTAGCTTTCAAAAATTGTTTCCTTAGTGTTCATTAAATTAAATATATATTATTAATGGGCATCTTTCATTTTTTATTGAACTTACTCGATCCCTTCTTTCACTATTCGAAATTTAAGTTCAATCTAAATAAGATTCGCACATATTTTATGATTTACTTTTTAAATTTTTATTTTTAGTAATTTTTAAAATTTATTTTTAGTAATTTTTTTTTATTATCCGTCATTTATCAAGATATACGTGAATATTTACTTTTTAAATTTTTACTTTTACTTTTTTACTTTTTAAACTTTTTACTTTTTTAACTTTTTTTTTACTTTTTTACTTTTTAAAATTTTTATTTTTAGTAATTTTTAAAATTTATTTTTAGTAAATTTTTTTTATTTTTAGTAATTTTTTTTTTAAAAATGTTTGGAAAACATTTTTGAATTATAATCTCTAAAATTTGTGCCATCACTTTAAAGTCGATATATTTCTAGGTGTACCTGCAAAACATTTAGAGTTTTTTATTCAACATTTATCAAGATATACGTGAATTTATATATTGATGCGTTTTGAAATTTGCCATATTTGTTATAAGAGATAATAACGGAAATGTGGTTTACGGAATTTCTTAAAATTATTTGAAAGAATGTCGGATGTACCTTTTTTTCCGCTCGTGTACAGCGAAAGGGAAAGGAAAATAGGTTACTGTAAATTAATTCTTCAAGCGAATTATTTATTTTTGATAAATTTTTAAATTACTCGCTAAGTTTCTCACCAAATTTTACAAAATTTAATATTTGGGCATAATTTGAGTCGTAGATTCGAAATATGGGGAAAAATAGGTAATATCGTTTCAGAAAAAAAAATCGGATTTTGTGTCAAAGAACTTGTTAGAACAATGCTATACGTAAATCTAATATATATCTTTAGTCGCGCTATCGAGCTATGAAAAATGCAAATTAAATTTCGTCAATCTCCTGAGTAGAACGGAAGATATAGAATTGTCTTCTCTCTCTTTTTTTTTTTTTTTTTTTTTTTTTTGGTCCCCCAGAGTGTATAAGGTATTTCTCCCGCCTTCTTAGCGTGCCTTCCTGGTGTAGTGATCTGCATGCTCGGCGCGTATTCCAGATGTCCGTGGTTCGATTCCCGGCGAAGGCGTTGCTCATTTTTCATCTCTCCTGCTTCCAATTAACCTAATGTCTTTACAAGTGTACATATTTAATCCGTCGCTTTTGTTGAGACATCCTACATAAGAACTAAAGAAAGTTCGTTAAATGTTCATTAAACTAGTTTGGGCCGCTAAAGTAACAATCAACTTTATAGCGACGACTGAATTTATACCAATAAATTAGCATAAAATTATAAAAATCAATGCAATTGAGTTAAAAACTGAGCAGCATTTAATCATCATAAATTTATTGAGAACTTTTGAATCCATGTATTTAATATACAGTCATTCTTCGTAGATTTCAATACATATGTGGTTCTTCTAATTACTTTTCTAAAATTTATCAAGTTTACTATAGTATATCTTTTTCTGGTTTATGAATGTGTTATTTATATAACAAAATATTTTAGAGCAATTTTCATTCTGTGTCTACCATAACTCTGCGTTAGTTTAAAATTCATTTTTAATTTTTAATTTTTTTTTTTTTACAGATAGACAACGAGAGCGCAGACTGGATAAAAAAATGATACTTTCCTAGTTACGAAATGACATTAGTCACAAAAGTGATTTTGAAAATACAGTGAGCCAAATGTGTTCAGTCTTGTCGCACTTGTACATTTACTATTTGATCACCTCATACTCAACAGACGCACTGCTGCTTGTCTCAAAAGTGGAAATTCTGATTTAGAATTTGAAAGATGGGTCCCGCTATAACCTGTTCAGAAGAAATTGCATTTTGATAACTAAGTACGTATCACTGAAAAATATTTTTATTTAAGTATATGTTCTTTTTGAGAAGATGTTGTTTTAAACTGAAGTGCATGTTTTTAGAACGATCTTCCTCTCTTTTTGCTACCTTATACGAAGTAAAAAAAAAGTATTGTAATCGGGTATCACATTTAAATGTTTGATGTCACATTTAAATGTAATGACATGTTTCGGGTATCACATTAAACGTAAATATCTATTCTGACCGTTTCCGAATCCATTTTGACTGTCTGTTTACTTACTTGACTTCTGTGCATACGGATAAAATAAAGGACTTTTTTTTTTCTCAAAACGGATGGTAAAATGAATTAAAAATAGATTTTTCATATGTATTTCTCATCACTCAAAAACGGTTACCATAGAACATTCAAATTTTCCATGTGGGGATGCTGTAACATCTAGTTATATATTTCCATGTTTTGCTGCAATTGGCAGAACCAAAAATGTATATATTTATATATACCTACTCACCTCATGGGGCGTACTTTTCTCCCATATAACATTTCTATTAGAAATGTGTATTTAATATATTATTTTAGTAGATGTCTTCGCATTCCGTCCCCAGTCTCTTAATGTTTCACTAATAATAATGTTTTGATAATTTTGCTATGAAAAAGAATTCTTTGGTGATAATTTTTTACTTGCCCCTTAAGTTTCCGTTTAAAAAATTTAAGATGTGTATATTTCTTGTGGAAAGTGTCGTGCAACTGTAGCAGTATGAAAAACTGCCTTATTTGATTCATTTGGAAACCAGTTGCTTTCTTATTGATCATTCAACAGCTATTTAATCATACCATCTTTTTGAAACAACTCGTATACTTGCAAAGGATGCTATAACAATGAATAGAATTTCAAAAACACGAAATGATTGGAATCATCCTTACTCTTGCTGGCTCAAAGATATATATTTTCATGCAAGGAAATTTCAGCAAGGCAGTAATATTGCAGTTAGTCAAACAAGGCGAAATGAGGTTGTAGCGGTTTGTTTACACACTGGAAAGCAATTTCCGTGTCACGTCAGATCTCAAACACGAAAAAATGCCCTGCAGTTGTCGAACTCCCATTCCTTGGAATAATTAGTGGGATATGCCGTTAGACATTGGACATTTTGCGCTGCTTTATTAAATGAGTTTTGAGCTTATCTTAGGTTATCCCGTTAAACAGGTCATAACACTAAAACAAATATGATATACAGGATATTTGGGACTGGATCGGAGAGTTAATAAAAAATTAAAGCTTTGGTGTAATTAATGCATTGCAGGCACTGATATGAATAAGGCTGGTAGTTTTTTTTATACTGCTGTTAAAGGTTAAATAGCATATTTTTAGAATACCATTCTAAATTTTGAATTTCCTTTATTATTAAATCCTCCGGATAGGGAAAGATTAAATATTAACTCTAACAAGATTAAAAGTTTTCTAGGAGTTTGCAAATCACATAATATTTCATGAAATTACGAATATTTTCCATATGCAATACTTCATGATACGTAAGTTAAGGTTGTCTTCATGGTGGAAAAATTTCCATTTCTTTTGAATAAAACAATTCTTCAAGTAAATGCAATTCAATTATTAGAATTGCAGAATTTTGTTGGTTAAATTACCGCATCCTTTGATTTGCAATTCTTCTACGTACATCTAAATAAAGGTATATTTATGGTTCCTCTCCGTCTCGTTTGTTGCTTGGTATCTTGGTTAGAAACCAGTGCGTTTAAGAGAAAATGTTTAGTACATTGATTAATGTGCATTTCAGTCCATTGTTTTCTGCAATATGTGATTCTAAAACCCGGATTAAGCCACAGTGATCCTCAGAATTACGTATCTAGTAGCATTTTATAACTCTTTTCCAAAATTTATAAATTTGTGCTGCTTAAACACAATGATAATCTTAGCTATTGAAATTCTACAAATGGCAAAAAATTCGGCTAGCTTCCGAAAACATTCACTACTTACTACTTTCTCCGGACAGGAGAAGTTATTTATCGAGGATTCCGTCGTAATGATTACCGGAGCCATATTTCTTGACATCGGCAAAGCATTTGACGTGGTATGCAAGTATTACAATCAAGTTCATTCAGCCTGATTTTTCGGAGCCCGTGCGAGTTTAACTTTATCATGTTGGCATCCCATTAAAATTTAGTCTGTGTGTACTACCTAAAGGTTTATACCTAAACCTTATACATATTAACTGATTTATTAACGCAATAGCGAAGTTACCCAGCGTCACTCTAGTATTTTATGCAGATGGCACTGCCATCCTAGCTCAATATTTACGTACATCACTAATTTATGCCCCGTCACTAATTTACAAATTTTTAGAGGTTATATTTCCTTGATGAAATTCGTATAAATACCAAGGTATGATCTTAGATTCAAATTAACATTGCTATCTCTTATAGTCAAAAATGTTCATATGTCCTCATATGTTTGTACATAGATGGCGCCACGTATCAAAAGCGTGATAAAACGGTTATTCTCTTTGCCGCTGGCGAAGGATTTTTTCATCTTCTACAATTTTTATATCACTATATCTACTGAGGATTTCGTAGGTTTTCGTGGTTTCGAGATTCCCATTTTTTCGTGGTTTCCCATTTCTAACGTATATAAGCTAGCTTAGTAAACAGAAATAACTATTCTTCTGTTTTATGTTATTACTTTATAAAGTACTCGCCCTTGGAAAGTATTCCTTGAATCCTTCGTATAGCAATCTCTGGGTATTTTGCAGGAATTAAATCGTTCATCAGTTGTCTTACTGTTTAGCCTTTTAAGATTCGATCATATCAACGATGAAATTTATTACATTGTAAATTTTGGGGCCTGGTGCTTGTTAGGTTAAGAATAGGAAGATAAATTCTTATCTGTCATTCACCCCCACCCTCCCCGGTAGATAGACTTCTTGAATGTAGGCCCCCCCCCCCAGTGGGCGAACTGTAAAATCGCTGAACACTGGTACTTTGGACTTGGGTTCAATTCCAGGCGGAAGGGCGGGTTGCATAGACGTTTTCCTGGTTTTCTCCATATATAAGGTATATACGAGTCAATTTACTTTAGAAACCCCTCTACGAAGGCATCCCTTCCCCCTAAGGCTCGACGAAAGCATTCCTCCCCCAGTGTACTTTGCTGTAATCTCAATAAATCAAACCAAATCTAAACAAACCTTCTTCAATGCACTCTTCTATGACAGATAGCCTGCAATAAATTAAATAATTTAATGTGATTTAGCATCGTTCTATATACACCGAGTACGCAAAAGTGATTATGCCGTCTTTATTTTCGCTGCCATTGGTTGTAGATACATATTTCCGAATATAAAAGTGTTTTAAGTGATGCATAATGCAAATATGTTGCTTTGCTATTTTTAAATTAAACAAATCTTCTGTGAGAAATTACGAATTCTAACTTTTAATATTGTATTTCGATCCCAATAATTATATTTAGGAAAACTTTTTGCTTATTATAAAAAATAAAACACAAAAGATTCGACTACGATACAAATTAACCGAAATATTAAATTAAAAATTTTGATATCATAATCAGGGGCTGTACACAAATTGAAGAGCGAAATGTTAGCATTGTACGTAATTAAAAATAAAATATCAGTTTAGAAAAAGTTTCTGATGTTAATAGGTTAAGTGACGAGAATTACATTATAAATTGTTGTGAAAAATATTGATCAATGTAATTTTTTTCAGAAAGGAGATAGACACTGAATCTTACAGACCTTGTGTTATTAGAGAAACCAGTGACAAGCTTTGGTACCGGTACACAACCAAACAATAGCATTAATTGCATATATTAAAAATTTAAACTATTTCAACTCTAATGAATTTCAACTATTAATAGTAGCATTTAGGCATTTTAAAACATAAAACTTATTTTTATGAAAATTCTTTCAGCCTCATATCTCGATAAAAAGGGATAATTTCGAGAGGATCTCTTAAATATTGAGAGATACCCTTAATAAGTGTCGAAACGAGAAGTACTACCGTTTTTTAGCTATATGACTCATCTTTGTAAAGCAGATGTAAGCAAGATTAATTTCTATTTATAAATGATGTGTTAAAGATTTCAGCCATTGTAAACTTCTGGAACATGAAGCACCATCTTAATAATATGTCACTGATTTGGCTTGAGATGGTATTAGTCTTCTTAAAATAGCTCAGTTTATTGTAATTCTACCATACATTTAGTCTATAGGCTTGCACTAATGCAAAAGGAAACACAGATTAAGCATCAAATTTTTCAATCTTTTTTTTATTAATATTTTATAAAGCTCATGTTAATATATATGATTTTTATTTATTATTATTTTTTTAATTTGAGATTTTGTGTGTGTGTTTTCTGTTGTGAAATTTCATCTAAATATTCCTGTATGTTATAGTGATTTTCTCGTAGCATAGTTTCCGAATATTTTGAATATAATCTAAGGCCGCTTGAGGTGCGGATGTTGTTCTTAGCTCTATTTAAGATATGAACACAACCGGTGCTTCACACGGCTTTAGACATGAACGACGAGGGAAAGGTTGACAACGTGGAATAAATGACAATTTTTTGCTTCCCTTTTGCCAGACCTATGCAAAGTATCCTTAAATTTCATCCCATTAGCTAAGAACACACTATTCGTACTAATGCAGGACAAAGAAATAAGTTACAAAAAGTATTTTTTAACTTTTCCTTGTAACATCAACATAATATAGCATATTTTTTTCTTTGTCCTTATAGAGACCGAGGAGTTAAAACAGCTGAATGCTGTGAGTTCGGCAAGGTTTCGATCCGATCCTAGGTGAACGAGCTGACTGCTTGGTTGGTTTTCCCATGCGCAACGTGAATACGAGCCAATTTCCCTTCGAAACTACTTCACGAAAGCATCACTACCTGCAGGCACATAGCCGTCATGAGCTTTCTCATTAGCTAAGCAACTTTACATAACACGTTTTTCTTTTCAGGTGTCCATATCTTTTCAGATGACAGAATTCCAGACCACTTCTGCACATACAGATCTCATCAGATATTATATCACCTCAAGTTGAAATACTCCGGAAAAGAGAATTTTAAATATTGAAGAGGGATGGATCAGAAAAATTTAAAAGTGAATAGAGCTAGGTTCCTGATTATTTAAATGACATGTTATTCTTATTCTAGAAGATAAAGTGACGCTTTTTTGCCGAAAAATGAATTTAAATTGGTCTTGAATTTACCTTGTATCTGTACGATTTTAGTTATGCTTCATTTGATGTATAATTGACAATGTTCTATTAAACAATGCATATAAAAATTTATTTGTTTAAAAAAACTCGAATTGAATTATTTCTTACGATGTTTGTCTTTACTTGTAAATAAACGAAGTGTAACATCATGAAATAAACAAAGGAACTGATTTTATTTTAGTAAAACAACTACAGATTTTGTCTCAATTTAATTACTCAGGCGGTAAAGTAAAGACGTTTCATTGCTTTATTATTATTAATATTTTTTTTATTGTGGTACATATTTCACAGGAAGTATAATGATATGAAAAAATAAATGAGAATCAAGAAAATTATTGACAACTACTTCAATTTCTTCAAATTCTGAAGAAATAAAATCTCAAGTACTTTTTTTACATAGTATTCCACGAGATTAAAATAATCACAAATATTAGTTCGAAAACTCAAGAACATGATACCAATATTTAACGTAATTATACCACATGGAGAGAAGTAAAATTACGCGTTTTGAGTAATTTTGAGTAAAATTACTGGGAGTTTTGAGTAAAATTACGCGAAGTTGTTTTTAGAATAAAAATTCAAAAACTTTGTAGTCCAGATTTTATATTTGTCAAGTAATGGCTGTTTAAAGATATATTACCTTTGTATTTAACATATCTGGGGAGGTTTTTCGTTGCTGTCAGTAGCAGAGAAATCTGGAATTAATTCCTTTTCCTCTATCATTGTTATGAATTTGTTAACAGGGAATTCTTTAATAAAAATTAAAGAACCAGACAATTAAAAAAAGAACCATATGTTTTATCATCAAATCATAGAAATCATGGAAAGTAATGTTTATTTACCATTTGTTTCGCGCAGCAACATTTCCGTTATTTACTACCTAATCAGCAATTATTAATTACGTAAGGCATAATGACGACACATTCAGCATTAAATTTTTGACTTTTAATAAAAAATTGAATAAGATTTAAAGTTTCAGTAATAAGAATTAATGGTAGCAAAATTTCATTTTATTTAATTTTTCTTCTTTATTTTACCTAGATTGTATTAAACAGCAAATTAAAAATTAGGCAATTTTAGTTTTGAATTTTCAAAATGCGCCCATACGAGTCCGTGTTTTGCAGCGAAGCGCTTCCCTTCAAAATTATTGAGCATCTGCCTGCAAGAAGATTTATTTTTAGCTATTTCCCCAGTTTACAAGGCATATGCTGTAGCTTCAGCTGTTAGCCGTTAGGCGGCACGACTGTCTTACAGGGCTTTCGCAGCTCACCCGGGTCATTATACGCGTGGGCGTTCGGACCTTCTGCACGCATTAGAAGAGAACTCCCGTTAGTTTTTTCTCCCGCTCTGTAGTTAATTCAGAAGCGAAAACGTAAGTTATATTTTAAGATACAGTTCAGTTTATGATTTTAATTGAAGTTCAGTTTATGAATTTAGTATTTAATATAATATTATGTCCTTCCAGAAATTTGAAATGGTAGAATTCAAACGCAGTGTAGAATCAAAGCTCTAACCGTAGTTTTTTATTTAAAATTTTATCTCGGTTCCCTAATATATATAAAATCAGAAAATTGTGGTATATACTGGCCTTTTGTAGAAAGGCATAAGCAGCTGTATTTTAAATTCTCAAAAAATGATCTAAAATCTTTTCACTTGCGAAGAGGCAATTTCTTCATTGTTCACGACGATTTTAGGGAAATATAATTTTAAAAAATTATTTTTACACGAGATATTCTTAAATCTTTTGCATAAATAGCATACTTAGTGTTAAAACAAAAAAGAGAATGAGTAGTTTTAAAGTTATTAATTCCGTTTTCGAATAAATGTAGATAAGCAAAAGGATTTACTTATTAGGCCAGTTTAAAAAATTTAAATCTGTTTATTTCTTCGCATTAAATCTTCGGAAATGAAAAGTGTTGGTAAATACTGGCATTGCATTTAGTTTATATTAGCACTGTGAAATTTTTTTAATTTGATTTTTTAATTTGATTTAGAAATTTTGCGAACTATGAAGAGTTTTGAGTTTATAATTAAATGCTGCGCTAGGAAAAATATTTAATACATTTTTAGTCTCATGTATTGCCTTTTCCTCTTATCAGCTTCGATTTTCATAAGATGCTACAGGTGTCAGAAGCGCTTAATCCCGAGACGAGAAGATGTCTTCCTGTTTCCGCCATTTCCCCCCCCTCCCCCGTTTTACTCCTTATAAAATAGCAGATTAAGAAACTGATGTTGCTCAAGACAGTTTTTTTAGTAATATATAATTTTGAAATTTTTAATATTTGATTTATGGCTTACCTCAAAGAGATAAGTTTTCGTGTTATGCATTATTCATCCGTTAACATGGCATCCAATGAAATATGCGCAATATCTCCATTGACAGTAATATTTCACGCCGAACGCCATTTTTAATCTAAATAAGTTGTTGTTTGAGATTTTGACACGTGGCAGTTATTTTTTCATGAAGGAACTGAAATGAAATTTTACGATTTGGCAGTTCTTAGATCATTAAGGGGTGTTGAAACCCCAAAATCTTCAAAAAATTGCGATTTCAGATTTTTGCATTTTCAAATTCTCTACACTTTTATATTTCTAAAAATACCATTCTTTAATCTCTATGAAAATTAGAACTTTAAAAAAATCTAGTTTTAATTTGTCATCTACTGCTTTGATCAATGAGGATTTTTATATAAAAACGCGTTTTTCTCCAAACGTGATTTTTTTATACTCGATGTACCTTTTCTCAGGAACACAGGTATCTAAACTGATCACAGGTATCTAAACTTTTTATGGCTTTTTTATTAGGTTCCCTAATATTTACTGAAATGAGCTTTTTGAAATAAACTTAGAAAAAAAAATTAATTTTTTTTTGTGTGAGAAAAGTGCTAAATTTTACTATGCCTAACAAAATATTCTGTAATTTACTCTAAAATTCAAAATGTTTCAAAAGCTCATTTCAGTATAATCAAATAGGTATACTTTAATTACAGAAAAATATTCAAGCTTGTTACAGCACATTTTGAGAAAAGGTACATCGAAAATGGCCAAATTAACATTGTATAGGGGTTTCTGATACTCCTGAAGTAAATGTCTGATATTAAATTCTTTCAGGAAAAAGGAATTATCTGCGGTGAAAGATTTTGTTTAAATAAGCACAAGATGTGTTTTAGTAAGAAAGCAGCACGGAATTGTCATTGCAGCCAAAGGTCATAATACTTCAAAAATAAAGCATCCTTTCTGAAAAAAGGCATTCAGTATGTGAAGTCGAAAATTTTTCAAAAGTATTCCTTAGAAAAATGCTCTAATATGCATTAATTTATAAAATTTCGAAAAGTTATTTATGAAAATTACATCTAATACCTATTAGATCACTTGGACAGGCAAAGGCAGTTTAAACGAGTTGTGCATGTTAAATCGCAAGGCGCCCTACGTTTCAAGTCCCCCCCCCAAATATTTAATTTGTTTTTAGAAAATAGTTAATATTCCTGGTGTTCTAAGTTAACAGACTACTGAAACTTTAGGTGATTGTAATCCATAAATTCACTACTGCGATCTGAGTGATAAGTGTTTATTCATTTACACTTTTAACCATGTATAACTATTAAGATTCTTTGAAGCATGAAACCTTAAATATCAGGTGTGTCTTCTCCGGGAATTGAACTTCGTATCTTCGACTACTAGCTAGATGGGTTGCTAGTTACACCACAAGAACATGCAGTGGGGAAAGCAAAAATTTCTTATATTCTCCTCCACTTAAAGGGCAAGTGGAGAGAGAGGGGAGAACGTGATCCAGTTGACTAAATCCACGTGGTAATGAATTATCATCCATAACCTTTTTAGCCGGATGCCACTGTAAAGCTATTGACACATTTTTCATACGAAAAACTTGAGACAGCAGCTGTTCTCTCACCGGGATTCAAACCAGGGATCTTCCGATGCTTGCCGGTTTGGTTTGTTTGGTTATGACAAAGCAAGCGAGGGCTATTTGTCTTCGTGGAGGACTTTCTGATAGAAACTATTGAAAACGACAAAAACGCCCGAGCAGCCAGTCCCTTCGCCGGGATTTGACACGGGTCAAACTATCACTGTCTAGTTGCTTTGCCGCTCAGCCGCTGATGAGCCCCAATGCTAGTCGGACATGCTACCAGGTAACGAGAGAGTGCAACAGGGAAAACAAAAATTCCATATATTCTTCTTCGTTTAAAGGGCGACTGGGAAGAAGATAAAGAAGAGAGAACATCTTTACAAACATTATGATTATTCTCTTCTTATTACCGCTCAAAAAGTCGAGGGAAACTACTATTTTGACACTAAAACTCAATCTTCTTTCAACGTTCTTAATTTTAAAGATGACAAGCTTGCCTGGCAACTTTTATGTAAACTTAATAGTACTCCTTTAAAGATGGTAAGGCCTTGAACTCAAAGTATGAGAAATACTTCCAAACTAAGGTTTATGCAGCAAGTGCTGTTAAGAGGATAAAGCTTTCGGCTTCAAACAGTACCCTTGTTCAAGTGAATGACCGCTAGATGATTTCTTTAGGCTGCGATAGATGGAGTTGTAAATAGTGTTTTTTTTTTTTTTTTTTTTTTTTTTTTTTTTTTTCAGAATTCTTTCTCCCAAATTTTTTGATGATTTCTAAACCTCTCATCCACACTGAATCATGTTTTATCAGCAGGATGCTGTTGAACGCATTTTTACTCACCTGATTTTGATTTAACTTATGAGTTTTTGAGTTTTCAGAATTTTAGACTGAAGACTGCCCAGTATAGAATATCTCTTCAGATAGCACTGCGGCATCTTGTGACAAAGCTGTCACTTTCTTTACAGTCTTTCATTTCTGCCCTCGTAGAGACTTTCAGATAGTAATCGAATTTCTGTCGCCAGGAAAGCCCACCAGCAGCCGAGCGGTAAAGTCGCTGAACACTGGTAGTTCAGTTCGGGGTTCGAATCCTAACGAAAAGAACTGGCTGGATAAGAGTTTTCTTGGTTTCCTTCATGTGTACCGTGAATACGAGCCAGTTTCCCTTAAAATATTATCCACGAAGGCAACACTTCCCAGATTCCTAGAGCCAGTTAGCCCTTGAG